TAGGAGAAAGTCTGACACTGAGGAGGTCTGATGGGAGGAGGTCTGGTAGGAGGAGGTCTGGTGGGAGGAGGTCTGATGGGAGGAGGCCTGAGTGAGGCCTGTACCTTGCATAGCTTTGTACTGCATCGGTGTGATGTGCTCAAAGCCGGGCGGAGGAACGTCCCAGTACTTGCAGGTCCGTTTCTTCCTGGTGCGCCTGGGAGAGCGGCTTCAGGCAGAGAAGAGACAAACTTCTGAGCCACTCACCCCTTTTTGTTGCTATGGCTACGTGACCCAAGTTATCATTTAAACCGACCTTTGAAACTGCCGCCGCGATATTAAACTGCTTTAAAAAGACCAGAATAACAACTCAGAGGAGCTGTGATGATCTGCTGTTTGTCTTTGCTTTCCACACTAAACAAATCATCTGAGGGCTTCAGGCTGCTTCCAGAAACCAGACCGAGTCTTCTCATAGCTCTCTGACATCTTTTAAATCAATAGCAGCATATTATGGTAACTATTTGTTTGGGAATTTTCTAAAAAACTTTATTTTTTTTTCCTTTTTTCATGTTTACCTGCTGCTATAACAGAGAAAAATCACAGTTTCACAAAGGAATCTATTAGATCAAAACTTTCCTTCCCAGAAATTCCCCAGTGTGAGGATATTTGGGAATTATCGGGTTTCTGTAATTAACTTCAGAGGAGGGTCTGACCTGCTCTGTTTGGAAATCGCTGTGAGACAACTGTTGTTGTGATGTGGCACTATATAAATAAAATTGAATTGAATTTGTGAGGGTAATTCCATCTAATGGAGGCCTTAGAGGCCCCGCCGGACCCCCGCTGGTCACCTGTGCTTCTTGTGGTCCCGGGAGCAGCTGCGGCGGTCCCGGCTCTTCCGGTCCCGGCTGCGGCTGCGTTTCTCCCGGCTGCGGTGCTTGTCTGCGCGGGCGGGCGGCGAGCCGCTGCGACTCCGCTTTTTGTGCCGCTCCCGCTCCCGCTCTGAGACAAAAGGAAAGGTCAGACAGAGAGATGTGGGGCGTCTGCACATCTGGACGTGTGACAAAAGGTTATGAACCAGTACAGGGATGCTCTGAAAGCAATATGTTGATTTAATTTAAAGTAGAAGGAGGGATGCTTTAATTTAATTTGATTTAATTTAAAAAAGGAGGGGGAAAACTTGGGTTTATTTTGCGATCTTTGGACTGTTGTGGAAATTCTGAAGCAAGAGTCTGAGTGCGTTTAAGAGAGTAAGAGATAGAAAATGTATTAAAGGGAAAACTTCATGAAGTGAAAGCAACCAGCCCGTGCCATGCAACGTACTCTACTGGCTACACTAGCCAACATGCTTGTCTTAAATTAATATTTAATATCTAGTATTTAAATTAGTATTTTATATCTAGTATTCTAGTGTTTTTTAGTATTTATATGTTGTGTGTAATGTCTTAAGATGCTGGGACCTTGAATTTCCCCTTGGAGATCAATAAAGTATCTATCTATCTATCTATCTATCTATCTATCTATCTATCTATCTATCTATCTATCTATCAAGCTGCTCCAAAGTAAAACAAAATCATAGCACATTTTGTGTAAAAATCAATCATTCTATATTCCCAGTATTACTACTGCTATTTTAGGAAGCAATAGGTGTCACAGATCTATGTATTGAGGGTTTAAGCAAACTTGCTCGAATAGTTTTTGTAAATCTAAGTGTAGTTTTTATTTTTTATTTATTTAGTTAGTTATAATGATGGCAAATATTTTTTTTCTTCTTTTTTTTTAAAATCGCCTCTGTTTTAATAATCCAATGCGTGTGTTTATTTGATGAGGTCACAAAGTGAGGTGATCGATGACATGTCCATAGATAACGAGACATCATCACGAGGAGATTTCGCATCCCGCCGTCTCGCGCGGCTGAACGGAAACACGCCGGTTTCCCGCCCTCCTCCAGAGCTGTCAAACACGTCAACACAGACCGGGTAAACACGCTGAGTCACGGCCGGAGAAAGCGTCCCGTCACGTCGGGGTTATCCATTCATAAAAAAAACCGTTTCACGGGCTAACGGTTCACACCAACGGTCGTCTGCTAGCTTGCGCACCGAACCGGGGCACAGACAGGTAGCGGACGGACACTCACCTTGTCGGTTCTCGCTCAGCTGCTTCTCAAACTCTTCGAAATCAGACATTATATCGGAATCTCGGCCGTGTTTTTTTTAATTTATTTATTTTTCTTTTCCAGCGGCTCTGAGGAGTCCGGTCCGGGAAGGATGATGCGAACTGTCAGCTATGTCAGTGAATACCAACCGCCGTCAAAACCAACATTCCACATCCGGTCAGCCCTTCACAGTAAAACCTTCGAGCGGTCAAAACGAACAAACCACTTCCGCTTGGTTCTTCATAATAAAAGAGATTTTGTGAAGGCGTTTTCATAAAGAAAAACTAAAAAAAACTAAAAAAAACTTGGCTATAAAACATTAACTAAACTAAATATATTATTTTAAATCAGAATTAAGAGCATGGTTGAAAATGGTATGAATATTGTCATTACTGTCTGCTGCTTAGCACAAAACGAGTAAAGTTTTCATCGACAACAGAAAGTTTGTGTCCCAAGTTCCATGTTCAATATGTGTTAAGTATTTGTTTAAAAACATCCGTGGCAATATAAAACCTTTAACTGGATTTAGTGCCATGTTTCTCCAGTTTATGAACAATACGTGTTTATCACATTGCCATTCTTGATATTTAAAACGATTATCATTTCAAATGGACACTTGCATTCACTTATAGGAATATTCTACATGTGGACATAGAAGAGCGTTGTGTTTGAATTAAGCCCCTCTCCTCTGAGTCCCGGTTTGTCAGGCTATACATACCTCCTTGACAACACACATGGAAAATAACCGACTCAGCTGTGCTGCTATTAAAAGACCTCAAATCCTAAAGTATTGCTCCTGAGAGCTGGCTGGCTGTCATGTCGCAGCAGCTCTGCTGAGGCGTGCAGCCACTTCTCCTCAGGAGAGGAATTACAGCACACTACCTGCAGAGGCCTGGGAAGCAGTAAGTGGTGCCTGATGATTAATTTATCACGACGTTCTGCTTAAATGTGGCTCTTTTTTAAATATCTGTTCTGTTTAATATGCCGGTTCTTGTTAAAAATGACACTGTGTCATTGAGAGCCGCTGCCTCTATTTTAGTGGTGGTTTATATTTAGAAGCCTCTTCTTGGACAAACAGCCAGTGCTTGGCATGGTAAACCTAAACCAAAAGGTTATCTCCCACTTGGCGCTGAATATGAGTGCTGGTTTTTACACTCGGATGACAGAAAGCTGGCACAGTCAGGATAAAAACAATGATGTTGGTGGATGGACCGAACACGAACTCAGCCGAAAGGTCTTGTGGTTTATCAGCACCACCCGAAGCCCAAAATAAACTTTGTACTAGTTTTGCTTTTAAAACATTTCTGTCTTTATTATATTTTACATTGTCTTAAGATATTTTAAATTTATTTATGGTTCTATCATGTTATTTATCTATTTATCATAAATGTTCAGTCTATCTGTTTGATGTATTTTTGTATTATTTTTGCATCACTTTAATTTCTATGAGATAATTTTGGGTCTGGCAGATATTTCTTCATTCATTAAAAATGTATATGAAGATATTTTTGCGCTATTTAAGTATTTTTTGCTGTATATTTGTAGTCTTTTGTATTGTTTTTTTGTCCATTTATTTATTAAGAATTTTCTGGCAGATTTCTTAGTCACAATTTTGATTTTGTGGTTTGCTTGTTAGTTTTTCTGTAGTTTTGCTTTTTGAGCTTGTGTCTTTACTTATTTATTTCTGTTTAATACGTTTGTGTCCTGATATTGTCCCGGGAAGCTGTAGTATCGAAACACTGAGTATATAAACATGAATGTACACATACAACACTGATCAAGTGCCATTCGCTCTTTATTTAACTTTATTTTAATTTCCTTCTCCGTCTTTGTTTCAGAATAATAAGAAGTCATAGTTAGATAGAACAAGGTTGTAGGGGATAAGATGGATACCAATGTAACAGAGCCGGAGAGCCTGTGGGTATGAGACATTCATTAAGTTGAAACAAATAGTTTTACATCCCATCTCATCCATCTGCATCTCCAAAATCAAATTCATTTTCTCTCCACAAAGTATGTTTACCACCCGAAACATACTTTAACTCAAGAATCTGTCGACTAACCACAACTTCCATGATGATAACTTAAACACGGATAGTTTTAAAGTGTTTTTTTTTTATGAATGGTTTAGTTTTTCTGCTCCCTGTTTAGCTTTAGCAAAAGTCAAGAAACAGTAACAAATTTTACCTATACCTTAATCTGTTTTATAGATTTTGTAAAAGCTAAAAAACATTTTGATTTGTGAGCTTTAAGTATGCTTGTGAATTGATTTTAGCCAATTTAACTCTGCCACTTGATCTAAGCTAAGCTATTCTATGCTAAGCTAATGCTAAGTTAATGTTAACCTAATGCTAAGCTAATGCTAAGCTAATGCTAAGCTTCCATCTGTGAAATGTTGGTTTGGATCATTTTTTGTTTGATATTTTTGACATACATCATCAAACATGCCCGGCCTGAGTCTCTTTCTTGCTTAACTGCAAATAGTCTAACGATTTTTTGGCATATTTCTTGGCAGGACATGGACCCAACATGGACGACTGTCCTCCTGGTGCCCTGTGTAGTTGTTCTGACAGCTGGATTTTTCTACCTCTACGGAGCCATCGTCAATCTGGTGTCCAAAACCTCTGTACGCAACAAAGTGGTGGTGGTAACGGACGCCCTGTCTGGGCTCGGGAAAGGTGAGCCGGCGTGGTTTCGGGGGGAAACTGGTGCAGCTTTTTTGACCTCTCTGCTCTGGGGCCTGTTTGCAGAATGCTCCGGCGTCTTTCACAAGGGAGGAGCCAGACTCATCCTCTGTGGGAAAAGCTGGGAGAAGCTGGAAGAGCTGGCAGATGAGTTGGCAAACGTCTCCGATCCCACAGCAGTAAGAACCAAATAAACAGGATCACATGGTGTTAAAGTCTCTTGCTGTCACCACTGACTCTGATCAGTGTTTCTCCTCTGTAGAGCTTATTGTCATAGTGATGAGAAATGTAATATTGTGTCTACTCTGTAAGTCGCTTTGGATAAAAGCGTCTGCCAAGTGCATAAACATAAACATAAACATAAAATGTTAATTCATTCATTTATTAATTTCAGTAAATATGAAAAAAGATGACAAAGGTTATTGTTAGAGGTCCTGTTTCAATCATTCTGTCATGGCAACCATTTATCAAAGTATCACCACATTTCTGCTCCTAATCACAATGATAACTAACTACAAATTAACTTATTTACCAAATTTAAAAACAACCGATTGTAACCAAAGTCCGAATAAAATGCGATATCATCACACCAAATGGACTCAAAACATCAGCTTCAACATCAGTTTAAGGCCAGAGAGAACAAAATTAGAATTAGTCTGAGCTGTTTTTATTCTTCTGGTAAGTTGCTCCAGAGATTGGGACAGAAAAAGGATTCTCCTCTACTTTTGAGTCTGGACTTTTTGATCTGAGCGCCACACGGGGAGAATAAAGAAGCAGAATTTCATTAAAAAACCCTGAAACTCTTCAATAAGATTGAAATCTACTTCAGAAATGGATCGGAAGGTGATGGAGATGTTAATCCGATTCTTTCATTGGAATCCTGAGAATAAACCAGAGTAGATCAAGAGTAAAAAATTGACATTCATTGGGTCACAGTTAAGTGTATCAGCTGGGCTCTAACAGACAAAAACCTCTCTCTGGGTCTCAGTGGGCAAAGAGCCCTGAGATCTG